TGACTGTAAAGCTGCCCCCAAGTTGGTGGGTGTGGAGCACCTGACTATAAAGCTGCCGCCCAGTTGGGTGGGTGTGGAGCACATGACTGTAAAGCTGCCGCCCAGTTGGGTGGGTGTGGAGCACATGACTATAAAGCTGCCGCCCAGTGGGTGGGTGTGGAGCACATGACTTTAAAGCTGCCGCCCAGTTGGGTGGGTGTGGAGCACATGACTATAAAGCTGCCGCCCAGTTGGGTGGGTGTGGAGCACATGACTGTAAAGCTGCCGCCCAGTTGGGTGGGTGGTGTGGAGCACATGACTATAAAGCTGCCGCCCAGTTGGGTGGGTGTGGAGCACATGACTGTAAAGCTGCCCCCAAGTTGGGTGGGTGTGAGCACATGACTATAAAGCTGCCGCCCAGTTGGGTGGGTGTGGAGCACATGACTGTAAAGCTGCCGCCCAGTTGGGTGGGTGTGGAGCACATTACTGTAAAGCTGCCGCCCAGTTGGGTGGGTGTGGAGCACATGACTGTAAAGCTGCCGCCCAGTTGGTGGGTGTGGAGCACATGACTGTAAAGCTGCCGCCCAGTTGGGTGGGTGTGGAGCACATGACTGTAAAGCTGCCCCAAGTTGGGTGGTGTGGAGCACATGACTATAAAGCTGCCGCCCAGTTGGGTGGGTGTGGAGCACATGACTGTAAAGCTGCCGCCCAGTTGGGTGGGTGTGGAGCACATTACTGTAAAGCTGCCGCCCAGTTGGGTGGGTGTGGAGCACATGCCTGTAAAGCTGCCCCCCAGTTGGGTGGGTGTGGAGCACATGACTGTAAAGCTGCCCCCCAGTTGGGTGGGTGTGGAGCACATGACTGTAAAGCTGCCGCCCAGTTGGGTGGGTGTGGAGCACATGCCTGTAAAGCTGCCGCCCAGTTGGGTGGGTGTGGAGCACATGACTGTAAAGCTGCCCCCCAGTTGGGTGGGTGTGGAGCACATGACTGTAAAGCTGCCGCCCAGTTGGGTGGGTGTGGAGCACATGACTGTAAAGCTGCCGCCCAGTTGGGTGGGTGTGGAGCACATGACTGTAAAGCTGCCGCCCAGTTGGTGGGTGTGGAGCACATGACTGTAAAGCTGCCGCCCAGTTGGGTGGGTGTGGAGCACAAGACTGTAAAGCTGCCGCCCAGTTGGGTGGGTGTGGAGCACATGACTGTAAAGCTGCCGCCCAGTTGGGTGGTGTGGAGCACATTACTGTAAAGCTGCCGCCCAGTTGGGTGGGTGTGGAGCACAAGACTGTAAAGCTGCCGCCCAGTTGGGTGGGTGTGGAGAACATGACTGTAAAGCTGCCGCCCAGTTGGGTGGGTGTGGAGCACAAGACTGTAAAGCTGCCGCCCAGTTGGGTGGGTGTGGAGCACATGACTGTAAAGCTGCCGCCCAGTTGGGTGGGTGTGGAGCACAAGACTGTAAAGCTGCCGCCCAGTTGGGTGGGTGTGGAGCACAAGACTGTAAAGCTGCCGCCCAGTTGGGTGGGTGTGGAGCACAAGACTGTAAAGCTGCCGCCCAGTTGGGTGGGTATGGAGCACAAGACTGTAAAGCTGCCGCCCAGTTGGGTGGGTATGGAGCACAAGACTGTAAAGCTGCCGCCCAGTTGGGTGGGTGTGGAGCAAGACTATATAACTGTAAAGTGCCTTGTATAGTGACTTATCAGGGGGAAGGGGGTACTAATTTTTAATCATCAGAGACCACCCCCCCCCTGATAAAATAATATAATAACTACTACTGCAATCAATCAACACTAGAGAGCACACTGGAGAATCACTCAATAATGATCTTAAATACGGAGAAGGGGCTCAACGCCAACTTATTTGGGGGGACTGCTCAAATCTGGTCCATTGTCATGACTACACACCCGGCTGAGCCACTGTGTATTACCCTCACTCTCCTTGCTTTGGGATGACATCCTTCCAGTTCCCCCCTTATGATATTATGTCTGCTGTCGACCGGCCTGAAACTGTTTCTCTCTCTCTCTCGCATTCTAGAAATTCCTCGCCGGGACGAGTGCAAAGACAAGTTGTCTACAGACAAACATTTATTACAAAAATTAAAAGAATAAAGAAATAACAGCATATTATCATCAGATCCAACAAATGAGCATCACGCGTATATAATACCAACACTCCAACAAACACAGTTCACTAGGATGCTGCTTTAATCTTCACTAGCAATCTCTTGCCCCCCTCTCACCGTCTGGGCTAGGCAACTTGAATATACTTTAACTCAATGGAGAAATATTAATGCAACAGTGCAAAATATATGGACAACAATGATGTTCATATTAATCTCTGTATTACGTTATAAAATCATTATCAAGTCCATTTATCAATGGGTTCTTGAATCAAGTAGGTACTCTTGAAGCTCTCATGTCGCTGCTTCATTCATCAGCGACGACTTCTGTCCAATAAGTACCACTGCTACATGAAGTTCCACTACATAGGCTTCTTCATACATGCTAAGTTCCTCTACACAGACTTCACACTATACATGTAGGTCCACTACACAAGCTCCATCATACACATGTAGTTCCACACATACAAACGTCACCACACACATTGACTTCCGCTGTACAAACCTGTAATCCCATTACCATTCAATAATAACAACTTATTCTATCAAACCATAAGTAACATACATATTTACATTAAATTTCACCTTGCGATGTACTACACATCACTACGGGGGTCCTCCCCTACTTTTGGGCGCGACCATCCCGAATTCCTCCTCCACTGGGTGGTTGGGCACCATTCCTTCCCTCCGTCCCATCCCAAATACTTATCCTGACCCCTTCAAAGTGCTATACAGTCGTAATGGCTTGGCGCTTTCCCCTGATAAATCCCTCACTCCCTCCCCCAATCGTACACTGACATCAGGCGAGCAAACATGTGTCGCTCCCACCTCCATAATGTCAAATCATCTCAAACTCATTTTATCTTCTCATTATTTTCACAAACTCTCAAACCTACATTCACAAACGACCTATACGATCGCTGGGCACACGATCAAATTATTACAAGCTGTATAGTGCAGTATTTTGGGCTGCTACCGCTAAAGGTTGGTGTGTCGACGCCTCTTCGATGACACACAAATATGGCGTCTTACCAGGTCGTCCACAAATTTTTCTTGGACGTGCCACTCGTGGCCCCTAACTGTCCATACTTGAGCGTGAAAAGTCGCATAACAATTTCCACACGGGAACACCTGCTCAATTTATCCACTTAAAAGGTTTTCACACAGTCGGGTCCACACAGGTATGACCACCCAATAGGCTTCAGGCCGCCCCTATACCACACCCATAGGCTTCAGGCCGCCCCTATACCACACCCAATAGGCTTCAGGCCGCCCCTATACCACACCCAATAGGCTTCAGGCCGCCCCTATACCACACCCAATAGCTTCAGGCCGCCCCTATACCACACCCAATAGGCTTCAGGCCACCCCTATACCACACCAATAGGCTTCAGGCCGCCCCTATACCACACCCAATAGGCTTCAGGCCGCCCCTATACCACACCCAATAGGCTTCAGGTCGCCCCTATACCGTTACCACGATAACAGAGATACGTCACACGTCGTCCTCGACGCTTCCTCACGACGTTGATGCGCATAGTCTTCTCTCAAACTCTTCACCCATGAGCTACAAACTTCCTTCTTCATAGAAGGCAACGACATACGTCCGTCCCTGTCGACTCTCACGACTGAAGTGACCGTTTAAGATCTCCACTCTCGTCACGTCTCGTAAGATACTGTCGACAGTATCTTACCTCGTGTCCTTAAGATGCTTTCCTTCTCCATAATCATAATTACTGACGTTTGCTTGGTTTAATTCCCTTATTAATCTAGTCAGGTGAGGATTAACTCACAAGGCAGATCTACCTCATTAGGCTTCCTGGGATTCATAACACTGTCAGCCTCTTGTTGAATCACTTGTGATATAAAAATATTATTGAATGTATATGTTTATAAATGATTGTATATATGTGCACATGCGTATGTAACATTAACAATTATGTAACTAGCTTCAAAAGGTTGTCACTTTCTTAACTAAACGAACTATGGAGTTCAGTTCCTGAACCCATTGTGTTGAACCCTTTCCACCACCGCCCACGGGATGGGTATGGGGTGCATAATAAAGAAATTGAATTATTTGCAAATGAAAGTACATTTTCTTAAGGCCGAAAATATCTTAGCTGTCATATATAGGAACACTCCCGCAGTGACGTTTACAAACAATATGGCTGGGTTACCGTTACCTGTGGCAGGTGGCTGCAGGTGACGATCTCCCAATCCTGAGCACTCCAGTTGCAAACTCTGTGAGCAGGAACTGCGGCATGATCTCCCACACTATATCACTGAATGCCCCAGTTAATAGACCTTTCAGACCAGTTGCATGAGGTACCTGGAGCTTTGTAATTACTTTATTCACTCTCTTATTCTTGAAGATATCCTCACAGTGTACCCAAAATTTGCCAGTGCCGCTTACTGAACACATGGCCCTGTATGACTACCATCCTGCGAGATGGGGACTTGTATTACCACTGCTGCCTTATTCACTCTTGTGTTGATGATATCCTCATAATGCTCCCAGAGTCTGCCAGTGTAGACTACTGATCACATGCCTCTGTATGACTAACCATCCTGTGTGATGGGGAGTTTTTAGCACCACGTAGCTAGCTTTTTGACACACTGTACTCCACTTCAGATAGTCTAGGGCAGCTGCACTAATGCAGATGTACTTAATATATTAATAAAAAAAACACCTTTCAATACTGATTAAATACAACTTTTCTCGTAAGGTTATCTTGAGGTTATCTTGAGATGATTTCGGGGCTTTAGTGTCCCCGCGGCCCGGTTCTCGACCAGGCCTCCACCCCTAGGAAGCAGCCCGTGACAGCTGACTAACACCCAGGTACCTATCTTACTGCTAGGTAACAGGGGCATAGGGTGAAAGAATCTCTGCCCCATTGTTTCTCGCCAGCGTCTGGGATCGAACCCAGGACCACAGGATCACAAGTCCAGCGTGTTGTCCGCTCGGCCGACCGGCTCTTTACCGGCTTGGGTGAAGGTAACATTATATTGTTGCGATAGATTCCTGAAATCAACACTCATCCATAATTCTGTGATTACAATATATCAACCATTTTAATGCACTCGTTCCGTAAATTAATTTTAAACCAAAAATTCCATCTAGTTACCATGATGTCACAGTAGATGACGCGGTCAGTTCCACACGACAAAGTGAAGACATGTTGAGTGAAGGGAGGAAGAGGAGCCGTGTTGCGTCCCAGTGTGGTCAGGCTATTGTGGTTCCAACCCAGATTAATGGTCCTCTCTCCCAGCGTTAATCTTGGGGACGACTCTGTCTTCGCGTAGGTGGTGATCCAGTAGTGTAGAGAGCTGTCCAGAGGCACCACCACCGGCTTCCCGTCCACCCTCCACACCCGCACCTCTGCCAGTAACATGTTCTGTTAACTAAGCCTTAAGACATTCACCAACAATGGTCAGAGTTAACCATCGTTAACATTTCCAGCAAGAGGTTAGGGTTAACCTAGCTCTGTATAAAAACAAATTTCAGATAATACATATATGAGGCCCATTATAAACTCTGGTGAAGACTTTAGAGAACTGCTAAAACACTTACAAAGTTGAGAGCATAAAAATGTATATAATATAGTTTTGCGAAAGGATGTGACATTATTTAAGTCGATAATGTTGACACTGATTAGTTCGTTAGACATAGTTTATTTCAAGTACTATGCTTCCGTACCCATCCTGTGAGTGGTAGTGGTCCCCATACCCATCCTGTGAGTGGTAGTGGACCCCATACCCATCCTGTGAGTGGTAGTGGTCCCCATACCCATCCTGTGAGTGGTAGTGGTCCCCATACCCATCCTGTGAGTGGTACTGGACCCCATACCTATCCTGTGAGTGGTAGTGGACCCCATACCCGCCCTGTGAGTGGTAGTGGACCCCACACCTATCCTGTGAGTGGTAGTGGACCCCATACCCATCCTGTGAGTGATAGTGGACCCCATACCCATCCTGTGAGTGGTAGTGGACCCCATACAAATCCTGTGAGTAGTACTGGTCTTCGTACCCATTTAATGAGTGGTAGTGGACCCTGTACCCATTTAGTTTTTTTTTTTATTATTTTCTACCACAGACGTGGCCACACATTTAGTGAGTGGTAGTGGACCCTGTACCCATTTAGTGAGTGGTAGTGGATCCTGTGCCCATTTAGTGAGTGGTAGTGGACCCTGTACCCATTTAGCGAGTGGTAGTGGACCCTGTACCCATTTAGTGAGTGGTAGTGAACCCTGTACCCATTTAGTGAGTGGTAGTGGACCCTGTACCCATTTAGTGAGTGGTAGTGGACCCTGTACCCATTTAGTGAGTGGTAGTGGATCCTGTGCCCATTTAGTGAGTGGTAGTGGACCCTGTACCCATTTAGCGAGTGGTAGTGGACCCTGTACCCATTTAGTGAGTGGTAGTGGACCCTGTACCCATTTAGTGAGCAGTAGTGAACCCCGAACCTCTTTAGTGAGCAGTCGTGAGCCCCGCCCACTAGATGGGTATGTATCCAACATGGGGTTGTGGTTGGTGTTCCGTGCCCAACATGGGCATGTGGACGATGTTCCGTGCCCAACATGGGCATGAGGACGGTATTCCGTGTCCAACATGGGCATAAGGACGATGTTCCGTGTCCAACATGGGCATGTGGTCGATGTTCCGTGTCCTACATGGGCATGTGTTGTGTGATACTCACTTTCATGACAGTCGAGTGTGAGGTTGCTGCCGGTAAACTTAATGTTCCTGATGGGCAAGTGTTGAGATCTGGTGTTGTTGAATGTGGTGTTGATGGCGGGGGAGACTACTTCATACTGCGTCGTCACTCTGAAGATCAACTCCTGCCACCCGGGCCTCACAGCTGCAGGCAGGGCGCGTGTTGTAGATTCTTTATATATATGGGCACTGATGCGAGTGAAACTAATGTTGTTTGTAGTGAAAGTAATGGTGTCATAATTCTCTGGGTAGCCATCACCCAGGTTGATTTGGATAGTGAGGATGGTATGGTCGTGACTGCCAGAGGGCGACCAGACACTGATGTGGGCCTCCGACCACCTCCACTCCGACGTCACGCTCGACCTCACAATACATCCTGTAAAGTCATCAGTTATCAGCACCAAATGTGTCTGCAAATTCCAGCTAAAGCTTACTCCTATTTTAACTTTGGAGAATTGAATTGAAATTGAAATACGTTTTTGAGGTATTAACCATTAAACTGCGCATGGCGTATGTATACGACAACACGATGGCACAATTAGTTAAATTTTTCAGATTTGTTCTAACGCTTTACAATTTTTTGCACATAATCTACTAGACAAAAACTCCAACTTTGTCTAAATGATCACCAAAGAAACTTGAAAACCAAGAAAATTAAAAATAAATATAAAATTTAATATTGAAATTTTCAAATTTTCAGATCAGTTGAAATAATATTAAATATCATCAAATGTTTATTAAGTGTTATTATCCTCCCAGAATAGTATATGATCTTCATTTTAATACAATTAGAATATAGATTTTCAATTTAGTTTACTGTAAAAAAAATCGTCAATATAGCATTTGAAATATGCACCAAATTAAGACAACAAAATTTATAACTCGAAACGTATAAAGTTTATGAAAAATCCTTTCTAATATGATTGTAGAACAGACACCTGTGTACATTATATGTAAAAATGGTGAAAATCGGACAGAAACTGGATTTTTTCAAGCTGACTCACTGTTGAAACTCTAGTTTTAGAGATAATTGAAGTCGAAGTTATCGACAATATATAAAGTAGTTCTAATTCATTAACTTACTTGTATGTTTTAATAAACACTGTTTGGCATTCGTACTCGAGTATATGAAAGTTGTAGGTCAATATGTGTTGAAATGAAGTCAAGAAAAATAACTCCCCGAAAAAGAAAAATATAGGGATAATTATAATAATTATAATGATTTAGGGGATATATTTAGGGTATACTTTATATAAGTCAAAAAGCCCTAATCTGGTCCCTAATCATCAAAACAATGTAAAGAAACAAGGAAAATAGAGTTTGAAATCCGTGAAAAAATCAGGCAAAAAAAATTCAAAGTCCCAAGTTCTGCCTGTTATGACTGATTATTTGTTGACCAATTTAATTCTATCTTCACATAGTTAGGGACGGGTATGCACTCTCTAGGATGTAGAGGTTTCAACAAAATCAGATAATAAACAAAGAAAAAACAAAAATAAAAAATATAGCCGAGGCTATATGAACCACTTCCCCGCCGGCACTCGGATGGTAATCTTGGGCATAGCATTTATCAAATCACCTCATTCTTTGGGGCACACGTGAGGAACACAAATGCAAACAAGCCTGAATGGTCCCCAGGACTATATACAACTGAAAACTCACACCCCAGAAGTGACTCGAACCCATACTCCCACAACTGGTATGTACAGGGACGCCTTAATCCGCTTGACCATCACGACCGGACATAAGGAAGTGATAGCCGAGGCTATATGAACCACTTCCCCGCCGGCACTCGGATGGTAATCTTGGGCATAGCATTTTATCAAATCACCTCATTCTTTGGGGCACACGTGAGGAACACAAATGCAAACAAGCCTGAATGGTCCCCAGGACTATATACAACTGAAAACTCACACCCCAGAAGTGACTCGAACCCATACTCCCACAACTGGTATGTACAGGGACGCCTTAATCCGCTTGACCATCACGACCGGACATAAGGAAGTGATAGCCGAGGCTATATGAACCACTTCCCCGCCGGCACTCGGATGGTAATCTTGGGCATAGCATTTTATCAAATCACCTCATTCTTTGGGGCACACGTGAGGAACACAAATGCAAACAAGCCTGAATGGTCCCCAGGACTATATACAACTGAAAACTCACACCCCAGAAGTGACTCGAACCCATACTCCCACAACTGGTATGTACAGGGACGCCTTAATCCGCTTGACCATCACGACCGGACATAAGGAAGTGATAGCCGAGGCTATATGAACCACTTCCCCGCCGGCACTCGGATGGTAATCTTGGGCATAGCATTTTATCAAATCACCTCATTCTTTGGGGCACACGTGAGGAACACAAATGCAAACAAGCCTGAATGGTCCCCAGGACTATATACAACTGAAAACTCACACCCCAGAAGTGACTCGAACCCATACTCCCACAACTGGTATGTACAGGGACGCCTTAATCCGCTTGACCATCACGACCGGACATAAGGAAGTGATAGCCGAGGCTATATGAACCACTTCCCCGCCGGCACTCGGATGGTAATCTTGGGCATAGCATTTTATCAAATCACCTCATTCTTTGGGGCAACGGCTATCACTTCCTTATGTCCGGTCGTGATGGTCAAGCGGATTAAGGCGTCCCTGTACATACCAGTTGTGGGAGTATGGGTTTGAGTCACTTCTGGGGTGTGAGTTTTCAGTTGTATATAGTCCTGGGGACCATTCAGGCTTGTTTGCATTTGTGTTCCTCACGTGTGCCCCAAAGAATGAGGTGATTTGATAAAATGCTATGCCCAAGATTACCATCCGAGTGCCGGCGGGGAAGTGGTTCATATAGCCTCGGCTATCACTTCCTTATGTCCGGTCGTGATGGTCAAGCGGATTAAGGCGTCCCTGTACATACCAGTTGTGGGAGTATGGGTTCGAGTCACTTCTGGGTGTGAGTTTTCAGTTGTATATAGTCCTGGGGACCATTCAGGCTTGTTTGCATTTGTGTTCCTCACGTGTGCCCCAAAGAATGAGGTGATTTGATAAAATGCTATGCCAAGATTACCATCCGAGTGCCGGCGGGGAAGTGGTTCATATAGCCTCGGCTATCACTTCCTTATGTCCGGTCGTGATGGTCAAGCGGATTAAGGCGTCCCTGTACATACCAGTTGTGGGAGTATGGGTTCGAGTCACTTCTGGGGTGTGAGTTTTCAGTTGTATATAGTCCTGGGGACCATTCAGGCTTGTTTGCATTTGTGTTCCTCACGTGTGCCCCAAAGAATGAGGTGATTTGATAAAATGCTATGCCCAAGATTACCATCCGAGTGCCGGCGGGGAAGTGGTTCATATAGCCTCGGCTATCACTTCCTTATGTCCGGTCGTGATGGTCAAGCGGATTAAGGCGTCCCTGTACATACCAGTTGTGGGAGTATGGGTTCGAGTCACTTCTGGGGTGTGAGTTTTCAGTTGTATATAGTCCTGGGGACCATTCAGGCTTGTTTGCATTTGTGTTCCTCACGTGTGCCCCAAAGAATGAGGTGATTTGATAAAATGCTATGCCCAAGATTACCATCCGAGTGCCGGCGGGGAAGTGGTTCATATAGCCTCGGCTATCACTTCCTTATGTCCGGTCGTGATGGTCAAGCGGATTAAGGCGTCCCTGTACATACCAGTTGTGGGAGTATGGGTTCGAGTCACTTCTGGGGTGTGAGTTTTCAGTTGTATATAGTCCTGGGGACCATTCAGGCTTGTTTGCATATATATATATATATATATATATATATATATATATATATATATATATATATATATATATA